CGTAGTTTAGCGAAGGCAAAAATTTAAACTCGTTGTTTTGTGACGTCTTTTCAACTATCTCATGTTGAGCAGATTCGTGAAATTGTTGTTTGCTAAGAAAGACGTAAAAAATTGACGATTGCGTTCAACATGAGATAGTAGATAAGACGTCACAGAAAAACAAGTCTAAATTTTTGCCTTGTAAAATTACCACCACTATGAACGTACTAAGAAAAAAATATTGTTTGACAAGAGTAACAAGGTTCCTTAAAGTAGAGACCGCGAGGTCACGTTCTACATATACTTCACCCTCATATAACAATGATATGAAGTTTTAACATTGATATGAAAAAAAAATTTCTCCTCATAAACACGTTTTTTATTGTAAATTGACAATTTTTCATTTTAAATTGTTAATTTATGCAATTTCAAACATCACCATTGAAAAGAACACCCTCAAAACCATTAAATAAAATGGTTTTCATAATTTTTCTTGTGTCGATGGAGACATGGTAAGAGCTCAAAGTGGAATTTCAAAATTGCGTCTCCCTGGCGTTAAGGGAAGGCTCTCATCTAGCGCCTCAAAAATGACGTGTTTTTCGTGATTTTTTTTTTCGTGGAAGGAAGTGAATAATGCAGTCAAGTTGTTTTGGTACTTATAAAGTATGTATTTAACTATATTAACAAATTTTTTCAGACCAAAATATCGAATTATTTATCGCCTAGCTGCGTTTGATGGAGGTCGTGTTCAAAAAAGGTACCTCAACGGGCGGCAAGCTTGCGCCTTCAGTTTTTGCCCGAAACTAAAAATGCGAAGTTCCTCTTAAACCAGATGACATTTGCTGGAGGTTGAACCTAAATAATAGCAAAAAAATTACAAATTGATAAAATGGCGGACTTCGGAAAAAAATTTCTTTTTTTTGCCCTTTTATGGCTCTTTTAAGGGCTGTAAAAAGTAATAATAATGAAAAAAGTTAAAATTTCATAGGTTCAACCTCCAGACAATTTAATCAGCTTTAAAAAAAAAAAAAAAGCGTATCTCTAAGTGCAGTACTTGTCGAGATATCTTGCCGCCCGATTCAGAAAACATAGTTTCGAGAAAAACGCGTTTAAAGTTTTAGAAAGTGAATGTACATACATGAGTGTTTATGATTAACTTTTAAAATTGCACGTACTGATGTGTAAGTCAGGTAATTTACAATGCACAGTTCTGAAATTTTATCAGGGTCTTTAAGAAGACTTGAGAGATCTACACTTTTATTTTTGAGCGTTTTGGTGGCACGTCTTTTTTGTATCGCCATTTGAAAATCGATTTTACCCATGAGTCGAAAAACGTACTGCGAGTAAAATAAATTTTCGATAGCTTCTTAAAAAATGGACTATTAACCAAATGATCTGAAATTTTCATGTTACCTTCCTTTATTCACATACTTTAAAAAAATTGATGACCTGAACTTGTTCCTCCTAAATTGGAAATTTCCCAGAAGGTTTTCCGCGCATACTGGATTATTTGAACTTTTAGCTTTTTTCTATATACTGTCATTTTTGAAAATAGACTATTGTTTTTTTATATCTGTATACACGTTTAAAAAGGGCTTGAAAAGACGAACAAAATGAGCCCAACCAGAACTCTGTTCCTTATATAATAAGAATTCTATGTTGGATTGAACATTCGATGATCCTGCGTTAATCACTTGAAAATTTTTGGAAAAATTTTTTTTTTTTCATGAATTTTTTTTTCTACTATGAATAAATAAATTAATTTATAAAAAAAATTTTTTTCATGGAAAATTTTATAAACAATTTTTATAAACAATTTTTTTTTCATGAAAAATTTTTATAAACAAATTTTTTCTCATGAAAAATTTTTTCTTATCATGAATAAATAAATTATTCAACAAATAATTTTTTTTCATACATTTTCTTTTTTTATTTAAAAAATTGTTTTACAACGCATTTTTTAATATAATTTTTCGGCTCAGCTACTAATTACACATGCTCTGGGACATTTCTATATTTCGCAGACTGAGGTCATTAAACACTAATGAAATTTTTTGGATAATATTAGTAAAATGTTTGCATTGTATCACGCGATAAGCGACCCATAGACGCGCGCTTATGTGCGTAGATAATAATGTGCGGCATGATATAAATAATGTCACATGAAAACACATGAAAGAAAAAGGGTTTTTTTCGCTTCAAAAGGTGCATAAGAAAACTTAAAAAAATCCAAAGAAATTTAAGGTCATGTTTTTCAATGTGATAAAACACAGAAAAAAATTTTCGAGTTTGATTTTGGCTCGTATGACCGTATATAAATGTTCCAAATTTTTAATTATTTTATTTGAAGGCCTGAAGCCCTCGAAAAATCTGAAAATATTCAAGGTGATTAGATTTGTTGATATGTACTTTTATGAATTTTTTCAAATTTTTTAATTACTTCAGGGCTTCAGAATGAATATAAATAAAAAATGGACATTTATTGGGGTGGAGTGGCTAGGAGGGGGATGGGGTGTAAAATTTTGGCTTTAGGATTTTTTTACCATGTACTATAACATATCAAAAGCGCGTCTAGATCGGTGTAATTCGAAAATTTAAAGAATTTTTATTTTGATCCACATTCAAATCGGGTTTCCCCAATGGACTATGGAGGAAAATAAAGCCCAAAGTTAATTTTGGGATTCTTTGTTGATAATCTTCAAGAAAAATTCATTCCTGATACTGTGCCCCTTAATTTTTCATCAAAAATTTTCTGAGGCGTTATTTTAAAAGTTAGTCAGAATCACTCACATACATACATCGTTCCCTCGTAAAAAGACAGCTTGAGTTTTTTGCCTATAACTTTATAACTAAATCGATTTTGGTAAAAAGGGGTTCGGGGGTGTATTCTACGGGACATTTGCTAACTAAGTAAGCAAAAAAAATCGATTTTATGATCGAGTATCATGAGAGCCTCCCCTTAATAGGTTAGAGTCAAAAAGCAAAGTTATTGAAAAACAATAGGCGTGAATAAAGTATCCTCTCTAAGATGTTCGATCTCCCATCAGCTAGTACTCTAGTACTTATATGGTTTCTTCTGAAGAGTTTCCCAAAATTACGTTTATTAAAAATCAATTTTTATTTTCTTGGGTGTAGCACTTGTGGTACGTGTGATGATTCAATACTAATTTTGCTGATTACTAGGAATAAGTGAGCACAATTTTTCCAATATTAATAAATACTTTGTTATGAGAAATTAATTTGCAATTTTAAGTATTGATTTAAGGCAATTGATCCATCTAATTCCATCTTATATCGCACATCCCTCCACTCCAGCAGTATCGTGGAGTCTACATGCTCTGCTGCTGCTCCGCTGGGCCCTATTCGACTATCGTGCGGTTGCGTTTTGCTTACGCCTCCTCACCGAGGATATTGCGACTCTCAGGCAAAAATTAATACAAAAAAAAACTAAATTAAAAATCACGGAGTATATTTTTCCTCTTCTGGACTCCCCTCTACATTGCGCGGCTGTCAATATTATAAAATATCTTATCGACCGATGGTAAAATGATCCAGTAAAGCGTAAATTTGTCGTCAAATGATTTTCAAATTACGACACTTCTTTTCGTACACCGTTTGCTAGTAGATACTTGAATTCAAAGTTTATTCAAGAGAAAGTAAAGTGGGTCAACTAAAACGTAGTAGAAACGATTATGGTGCTTAGATCGTGTATTTGTTTTGATAACTTTGAGGAGAGGAGAGGCTGCTGGAGTGTCGGATCGTTATGCAAACGGTTACGCATTTAATATCATATTCATTTTTAGCACGATGTTACGCCTGGGAAAAACACCTGTAGGAAATGGTAATAAAAAAATGTACTCGAAAATTCTCATAAAAATTACCTATACAGTATTGCAAATTTTACGATGTTACACCTATAGTGAAATTACTTGGAGTATAATTCTTCGCGCTTACTATATATGAATATGGTAATTTTGCCGATAACATTTTTCCCATTGCAATAGATTTCGCACACGCGATCGATGATCAGTCTCACACGCATATATATAAACTTTCGCTCGAGAGCACGTGCGAGTACTCGCGTAATACAATAGCATTGCTTTACATAAATGCTCTTGATTTTCGTGCGCGGTGACACTGTATGTAAACCGAATCGTGCGCGGGAGACAAGAAAGAAAAGAGTTAATTTTTTTTGTGTCCACACAGCGATTATGTAGTTAATTCTCTAGGCCTCCAGGAAGGTCGCGCGCGAGCTGGCGATGTGCTTATGAGACTGATTGATCCGTCACGCGTGGCCATATCGGGTACTGGGGGCTCCGCGTTTAGTTTGCAGTATTAAATACTACTACGCACGATACGATATGTGATACGTACGCGCGTTTGGCTCAATTATCGGCTTGACTCGATCGCGCGAAGCCTTTCGCGATTCTCCGAAAAGGATCGGAACTCGGCAATTATAATAGTCACGATCGTTGCTGCTGCTGCTGTCTCCTCGCGGTCGATCAGCGCGACGACGACGATTCGAGAGCCTCGATGCGGAGATCGATTCGTGCTTGGCGCGACCTTGACACTGAAATGTGTAGCGTATTACATGGTATACTTATAATACATCAACATGCGCGTGTACGCAATGATGCTGTGTTTGCCGGCGCACCTGATTGTCATCCCAATTGACTACTTTATTTTTTGTTAGCTTATACTTACAGCTCGAATAATGCGCAGTTCGATCGCGGACGACTTCTGTGCCGCTGCATTAAAATTAAAAGAAAAAAAAGAAAAAAGAAAGAAAAAAGTCGAGCGTGAGATACTTAAACTTTGCGCGCGAGATATCTGTCTATCTATATACACGCATTGATGCAGCGCAGACAGATGTATTTAATGCACGCAGAGTATATAAGTAGTGCTGTTGTGTGCGTGCGTTTCTGTCAGTGCACAAGACAGAGAGAGAGATAAAGAGAGCTGCTCTAGAGACGAAAGATATTTATAGCGCTTGTGCACGGCGTACTTATATATCGTCGTCGTCGTCGTCAGTGCAGCGTTTTTAACTTTATATGCGCGTTCGATCAGTCGAGTTTTACTTATAAATTACATCGCGCGGCGTGCTCAAGTACGAATCCGACGCCGCGACTTTGTGCCTCCCGTATGTATGTATGAGTGTGTCGCGCATTTTTTTGTCATCGTATCGTTACTGCACTCGCACTTTATTTTTATAACGCGCCGCAGCGAGTGTAAGCAACGCTCGTGTCAAACGCGTAAACGTAAGAATTATATAAATCGGTAAGTAGCGTGGATAATAGCTATATAGCGGCCGAGGTGGCCCCGTCGCTGTCTGGAGAGAATGATACACAAACTACGTCGCGTTTGACACGCGTGACAGATATCTCTCGAAGACGGTGTACTATATACCTATGTATGCACGGCCGCGGGTAACAATAGTAGGACTCGTCTCTCGCGCGCTAAAAGCGCGCCGGTAACGCGATATCCTCGAGCATTGCAATCGCTGCACACATAGCGGAGCAGAGCGCAGAGCAGAGCTGGCCCGCAGTCCAAGCGACGTGATTCGCGCAGTCGAGCTCCGCGCGCGCGCGAAAAAAAAAAGAGAAACTCGGTACTTTTGCGAGCTGCAGTTTCGTCCAAAGTCTCTCCTCGGGCCCGCGTCGTCTTCTATACGGTCTGGCAGTGTATCTCTTTTCGTCGAAAGTTAGGTATGGCGCTACCGCACTCCGCTCCGAGCGCACGTATCCATGCTCTCTTATAGTATAACGTGAGCTGCTGCTGCTCCTCGCCCTCGCACAGAGAGAAGAAGAAGAGACATGCAGCATCTTTTCTTCTTCCTCTTCTTCTTCTTCTTCTCCTCCTTTGGTATATTTCTCTCGTCGTTTATATAGCTCTCTGCTCTCTGTGCAGCTCGCACGACTCTTCGTGCAAGTGTGTGTGTCCGTGTGTGTACACATTCTCTCTCTCTCTCTCTCTCTCTCGGCCGCACCGCACAAGAGGAGTCTCAGCAGACAGTATAGACTTTTTCGCCTCTCTCGTGTATTGTGTATCGTGTGTATCCGTACTCTCTGCGTACCATTACAACGCGAGGAGAAGAGGAGACGACGGTACACATATATATATTTATCTCGTGGATCCGCCGCCACCGCCGCCGTCGCCGCGCACGGATGTGATCTAGTTAATGCACGGCCAGAGCTACGTCTCTCGCGCGCGCGGAGCGACGAGCGACGAGTATACAACAACTCGAGCACACGGCAGATAGTTTTATAATACGCAGCATCACGATCGTCATCATCATACATACATAATCGGCCTCCCATAATGTTGAGACGATGGAGCTCGAGTGGCTGCTCCGATCTACGTTCTTCGGTATTAATACGAGTGAAGAAGCAGCAGCAGCTACAACAAGAGACGAGATGATTACAAGATCGGAAGAGCAGCAGCAGTATAAGCACGAAGAGGGTAATCGACAGCGATACTATAAGCGGTGGCGACGGCGGCAGCCGCGGTATCTACTTATCTTCGTTGCACTACTGCTGCTGCTGCAGAACAACGTTCGTTTGGCCGAAGGCGCCACCGCCACTACCACCAGCCTACTGCTACTACCGGTAAGTCTCTCTCTCTCTCTCTCTCTCTCTCTCTCTCTCTCTTTCTCTGCACGGTATACATAATATACAGCATCTCCTCTCTCGCGAAATCATGACAACGTCGGTGCACGCGAGCCGATATACATTGGCTGCGAGCTTGCATATAGCCGCGGCAATTGATATAGGTGCAATAGATATGTAGTGCCTTGCAGCATCGGCACATTTGCCATCGCAGTATACAGCCGATCTTTACAGCCGATAGATTAAAATTACCTTTATTGCTGCTGCTGCTGCTACGGACTTGTAGTGCTCTGTATTTATAGAAAAGCGCAGCTGCGCCTTTATATACGATGTATATTTAACGTCACTTCTCGATAATCCACGTGCAGCGTGCGAGAGCACGTATTTTACACACTGTGTACAGATCATCTCTCTCCCAAGAGTAGCAGCAGCAGCTCTCCATCATAATACATATCCTTTGCAAACACGTGTATATAGGCGCGAAAGAGAGCCTATCCCTCCTCCTCCTTCTACAACTCCTGCTGTACTGCCGTCGCCGACGCTTATCTTTTTATGCATTGCGAGCTATGCCTCGTGCTGCTGCTGCTATGCAATCGTGTGCATTAACGCCTTACGTACGATAGAGACACGCGATAAATATTTCGATTTGGTTCCAGATTACCGATAATGAGTCGGCGAGGGAAAATCGAAGCGCTACCTCCGCTGCTGCCGATGCTGCTACTGCTGCCAGCGGCGAGTCTCTGTCCGTTTCCTCGGCTCTGCCGAAACTCGCCTTTAGATCGAGGGACTTGTCGTCGAACAATGGTAGGTGTCGTTATCGCTCGCGAAGCATCTCTCTCTCTCTGTCTCTACGTACATACCGATACCGATTTTTGAATTTTGCACGCAGAAACGACGACGTCGGCGAGTAGCAGCAACGGTAACGTCGATGGTCGGAGCGAGTTCACCGATTGGAGCGATTGGTCGGTGTGCGACAGAAACTGCATGCAGAATCGGATAAAAAAGTGCCGCGCGCCGAGCCAGTGCGCCAATTCGCTTCTTCGAGTGAGTATATCGTAACGTGCTATAAATATCGTTTATTACAAAATGCGCGCGGGGCATATCAATCGAGAGCGATCGAGCTGGAGCTAGCCGATTTTTTGCCCCCCGCAGCAGCTTCTCTTGGATACACGTATTAAGTATATAATAAAATATTTTCATATCGTCGGGAACGAAAACGAGCGCAGGAGGAACGAGTTTGTACGGACGAGGATAAAACGGGCCCGAGCTGTCGCGGACAAAAAAACTCGGCCAGACGCAAGAAGAAGCGTCGCGAGTATCATATTGTTCAGGTACGACAGCTGTACACACGCACTCACCTACGTTACGTAAAATATAATATTTTCTGCGAGGATATCAAGGCACGCGTGTTATTTTTGCAACACAGGTCAACGACGAGGTGAGAGCCGCGCGAAAGGGCAGCCGGAGGAAGCACCATCATCATCAGCATCACCGGCGCAAGGGCAAGAACGAGTTGCTGCAAGACGACGACGGCGGCGGCGGCCACAGGACGCCCCAAGACGAGTACGGCAAGTGGAGCAAGTGGTCGTCCTGTACGAGGTCCTGCACGACTCAGCGCCTCAAGTAAATAATACGTACACGCATTTCTCGCGGCTGGAATTTATTGCGATTAATAAACAATTCATTCTCTTTTTCTTACTGTAGATGGTGCAAGATACCGGGCTTGTGCGCGAAAGACGTCGTACGTCAGACGGCCTATTGCTACATCGAGGGCAGCTATTGTCAACGCTGGATCAGGCGAAAGATCCATCAACATTACGAAGGCAACAGCAACGCAGCCAGCGGCAGCGATACAAGCAGTAAGAGCTCCTATAAACTCTTTTCTCATGTATATACCTCCTCGTTGAGGATGATGATTATTCAGCGCGCGTTACGCAATCCCTTGTCGTAATTCCCCATTATCCTTTAAGATCTGACAGAAGATCGATTCGCCGATCTCGCCGGTGACGACGGCGGTAGCAGCAGCAGCAGCAGCAGCAATAGCAACTTAACGCCAGCCAGCGGTAGCGCTACCGCCAGCGAAGACTACTCCAATTCCTCTCCTGCCTGGAAGTGCGGCGTGGCGCGGAAAAGCAACAAACTGTCCTACTTCACGAGGATAATAGGCGGCCGACCCACGTTGCCCGGTTCATGGCCCTGGCAGGTCGCCGTCTTGAACAGATACGGAGTCAGTATAGAACATTTTTGCCCGATGGAATCATCATTTCTCTCCTTTCGCCGATTAATAATAATAATGACTAATGTGAATGTCCTCTTCCGCACGCGCGCCGTCGTATTATTATTGTTCTGTACAGGAAGCTTTTTGCGGTGGCACGCTCGTGTCTCCGCGCTGGGTCCTGACGGCCGCCCACTGCGTGCGCAAGCGGCTCTCGGTGCGCATCGGCGAGTACAATCTGCTGATCAAAGAAGGCACGGAGATCGAGCTGAAAGTAAGTAATAGCGTTGATTGAACAAACAAAAAAAACGAGAGAACGAGCATAAACAAAGACGCTGACACGTTTTTTCTTCAACCGGCGCGCACGCAGATCGATCACTCGGTGACGCATCCCAAGTACAACGCGCACACGGTGGACAACGACATAGCTCTGCTGAGGCTGCCCGTCTCGCTGACGCCTTCGGAGACGCGCGGAGTCGCCTGCCTGCCGGCACCTTGGCAGGAGCTGCCCGATGACCAATTGTGCACGATTATCGGCTGGGGAAAAACCAATGCGACGCACACCTTCGGCACCGATGTGCTCCACGAGGCCAGAGTGAGTCGTCGCAGTCCAAGTCGTCGTATATATACACACGCATCTTACACGTGATCGGTAAACGTTGTTTTCTTTCCCCACGCAGATACCGATCGTTCCGGACGACATGTGCCGCGACGTCTACGTCGACTACAAGATCACCAACAACATGTTCTGCGCGGGCTATCGTCGAGGCCGCATGGACTCGTGCGCCGGCGACAGCGGCGGCCCCCTGCTCTGTCGCAATCCCGCGCGCGCCGATCATCCCTGGACGATCTTCGGCATCACGAGCTTCGGCGAGGGCTGCGGCAAGCGCGGCAAGTACGGCATCTACGCCAAGCTATCCAACTACGTGCACTGGATCAACAAAGTTGTTAGAAAAGACTCGTTTAGATAGCGGCGGTTATTTTTTTAAAATACAAATAACGGAAACGAAAAAAAAAACGTAATATTTAATAGCTTAATTTTATTTAAGGTAACTTTAAAAAACAAAGAGAGAAAGAGAGATAAAAATGTATTATCGATTTAAGATAGATAAAAAAAGAAACAAGAGTTAAAAACTATATATGTATATAAGATTTGCCATGTATTTGTTATTTCACTTATTTCACTTAATTATAACAAGTCTTTCCACACAGTTGTAACCTTTGTAGAATGAATACAAGGGTATACACAACGCCGGCACACGTATACAAACGAACACAAAAAAAAAGAAAAGAAACAACGACGTCGAACGTTGGAATTGAGAGCTGCCTGGCTTTCGTTGCGGAGTAAACAAAAATCTCAGTCGTTTGCATTGGGCGCGCTGCGCTGTGCTGCTCTTGCAGAGTTGCATGCGGTCGTCGTCGTCGTCGGTGATTCAGTTGAATTTGCATTTGGAGAAATCCATCTCTGGATGCTGCTGCATGAACCTGTTACGTGTCGAGGCACAGCGAGAGAAAGAACAAAAAAGTTATATATGCATGTATATAAGAGACGAGGAAAAACCGTTTTAGAGAAAAGCCATAAAAGCGCTTGGTGAGCGGGCTCGGCTCCTAAAACGATGATATAATGCGCGAAACTCTTACTTTTGAATAACGTCCTGCTTCTTCTGCTCGTCGCTCGTGGGCAGGCCCAGCTCCTTCTGCCTCTGGTCGTACATCATCTTCTCGACGAGGCCCCTGGTCTCGCCGTCGAGATCCGACAGCTTGCTGGGCTCCGGATTGATCTTCTTGGTGCTGATCTCCGGGTCGGTGGTGACGACGTGCGGCCACCACTGCATCTTGTTGACCTTCTCGAGCGTGACCACGAGCTGGCGGCCGTCCTCGATCACCCAGGCCGATTCCTCGAGCTTCACCTCGTATGGAAAATCACCGTCGACGATCGGCGGCTGGCCCTTGACGCCGCAGCGCAGGTGCTTCTTTTTTATCGTCACCTCGAGATCTCGCGGCCGCACCGCGAACGACACGTTCAACGGAATTCGGAGCTGTAAAAGCGACATACAATACGATGCATTTTTCTCTTTTTTTTTCTTTAATCTTGCAATGTAATGTAAATTAAAATTCCACTATGGAGCAATGGCTATAATATAATGCTCATGGAGAGAGATACGATGGTTTTGCGAGAGAGAGAGATGATAGGAGGGAGGGGAGAGTAAGAGAGAGAGAAAAAAATAACAGCGTAATTCGCTTTCGCGCATATTACTCACGGCGGCCTGTTGTTAATTTAATAACCTTGGGCCGAGGCAGCAAGTACACACACACACACACACACACATAATACACGGACGAAAAGTGATACAGATTGGCTCGTAATTTTCACGCGATCGAGCTCTCCCTCGCCTTGTCTCATGCTCGCTTGGCTCGGTAATATAGCTTTTAATAATATAAATACGCCGTTCGCGAGCGCAATAACGCCGCGCGCGCACTTATGGCCATAATTTACGCATTCCTTCTGTTTGTCTTTGCGCGCGATTATTATTAGAGAAAGGCTTTATATAAAATAGGCAAGGCCGCTTCAGAGCTGCAGTCGTTCGTCGGCTTGGCCGCTGCCGCCGCCGCGTAATCATGCACAATTATACAGACACAAAGTACTCTCTTAGTGCGCGCGCGCTCATAGTGCGTTTTGCTGCACGATGAAAAGAAGAAGGTATGCTGTTGCTACGTGCGCTGGCTATAAGAAGAAAAAAAAAGAACGACGAGAGACCGGAGAGGAGATGAAAAAAAGAAGAAGAAATATTATAAAAAGATTCTTATGGGTTTCTCAATGTTCTCTTCTTTATAAGTGTATGTGTGCATGAGCGAGTATTAATGAAAGCGCCGCCGCCGCAGCAGCATCAGTGGAGCAGCAGCAGTAAAAGATGAACTGTCCTGGCGCCTTATATTCACTGGGACAAGGTTGCAAGCGTCCGATACACGCCACTGACTCTCCTGTACATGTGTATGCGTATGTGTGTGTGTAAAACGTGTTGTATATCGTGCACATGCGATGTGATGCGATGCATGCTGCATGTTTGTACCTTCTTACACACACACACGCGTCGATTAACCTTTTCTCCCATTTTTTGAGACCCTGAGGATACACTCACACACACACACACATACATACGCATACATTAAAAATACGTGCATGCAAGCACGATCAGCAGCATCGCGCAGACACACTTTTCGCGCGCGGCCGATACACATATATACTTATAAAATGTGTATGTATAACGCGACATTCCTGGGCCGGTACGTCTCTCTCTCGCTGAAAAAATAATTCCATAAATATTTTCGCGCTCGTGTGCGCGGCTCTCTCGGTTTTGCCTCTTTTTTATTCCGTCACCGCGATCGGTATGCGCCAATAATATAATATATAATATCGAACGCGCGTAGGTTGGAGGAGATAGATTGATTTTTGTTTTGATTCGCCTCTCTCGGTTCGCAGCTGCCGCTGTTGTTGTTGCCGATCGCGAGGCCTGGAGACTGCAGCGGTATACAGGCGGCGGCCCATAGGCAGCAGACACACACACTCCACGCGCCGATAAGAGAAATAAAAAAGCTCGCGCGCACACAGACATACACACACGCGCGGTACATACATTTGTACGTAGGTAGAATAATTGGCTTAAGTACAGAGATCCTGTTAGGATTCAAGGACTTGACTTTTGTTGTATATATCGTATGCTATATAGTTTTATGTATAGGAACTCTCATCCGGGTGGCTCGAGCTTTATACTCGCACACGCTCCGGCATACAATGAGAGCTAAGATTCGCGCGCGATATCGGTCAAAATAGTCAGGCAGCATTGTGGGCCACGCGTAATAATAACAATAATATAATAATAATAATAATACGCGGTGTAGATAGATACGTGCAATAAAAAACACGTACAGACCGAGCCACCGCAGCTCCGATCGATCCTGGGAAAACATGGATAATTGTGTAATCGCGAGAAGAGCCGCCGCCGCCGAGTATTAAAGTACACGAGAGAGCCGGACGACGATATGGCTTATAAACTCGTGTGTATAGATGTGTCTATATAAGTGTATGCAACAAGTGCACGTATATGTATAATACAAACTAATATTTGCCCGTAATTATTGTGTATCGTCGAGCTTGTAAGTACGCTATGTACCACGAAGGAGCTCGTTACGAGGCTTATCCATGCGTTTCGACGCGGATACCGAACGTACATGATCGGCTATTTTATATATATATCTAGTAAGTAGTCAGTCAGTCAGTCAGTCCCCCATGCATGCCTCGATGCGTTGGCTAGATCGCGCGAGTCGACGCTATATACGCGCGTTTCGTTAAATAATTACATATTGTTAGAGGCGCTTTATAACCATAAAGTCATTATGATAAATGACTCAAAAGTATAGAGTCTGGCGAGCGAGAGAGGAAAGATATGCTTGGCTCTTTTTTTTTCCTAGCGAGGAGCTCTTTTTCTTCCTTTTTTTTATTCTCTATCGTCGGTTAGATATACTTGATTAAATAATGAATAAGGCCTGAATGAGACGACTGCGACGATGATACAAATTCCTTAGCTCTGCGACGACGACGACGACGACTACGGCGGCGGCCTTGTGACACGATTCTTGCATGCACACACACAAACACGTCGTGTGTATTGGTAGTAGTAGTATATAAAAATGTATATATGGAAAGAATCAGAAGCCACACGCACGAGTGGTAACGATCTATTAATCGATTTTTGTCAGCAGCAGCCGGTGGGCATGAATGATTAGCCAAAACAAATACATACAACAGGTAGTAAAAATGTTTTATCGCGTGTCTGCCATCGCGCGCGGCTCGTCGTCGTCGTCGCTGTTGTCTCGAGCGCGGCGAGCCTCTCTTCCTTTTTTTTCTTTTGTCCATACCTACCTACATCATAATATAATGTATATAAAAATATATCCTTACGCGAGAGAGATCTCGATTCATTTTTCACGCTGTTCGAATTAACACGTATACATATCGAGCCTTATGGCTTCTACAACAACAACATAAACAATGACGATTATCCTTCCTTGATCCCTCTACGCAGGGGGGAGTCAGCAGCAGCGAAAATCACCGACGTATACCGAGCCGAGACAAAAGAATACATCTGAATACGCAATTTTGACGTCATATCCTCGTGTAATATAAACGCGATGCATACATTCATATCGGAGGAGACTCGCGCGTATACGAGCCACACGCATCGATGCGAAACGTATACATGTATATAAGCGAGAGAGAGAGAGAAACGAATAGATAAGAAATTATAGACCGCGCGAGCGCGGGCATTTATGCACGCAGCGTCGCTGCGCCGCAGGAGAGATCCGCAGCCTTGATCTTGAGAGGACTAAGAGAGACTCTATATGTACGCGCGAGCCGTCGCGCACGAGGCTAATTACGAGAGGATATCGGCGCGCTCGATTCAGCGAGAGCCTAGCTTTACTACTACTACTACTATATGTACCGACCATCATCGCGCGCAGAAGGTGCCACCGCAGCGGCATACGTATACATGCACGTGAGTCGCGGAGAGCGTGTCTGCGGCTAGGCTACACACGCATCCAGAGAGGATATAATCATAATTGCCCGACGACGCTAGAGCTAGCTGCAATTAGCATTTTCAAAAAGATCTCGCTCCTTTTTTTCTTCTCTCACTCACTTCTTCTTCAATTTTTATATTAGTAACATTACGCGTGTCTCGTGTACACATTATTAAAGGCGATCTTACGTAATGCGCGCGACGACGGCAGAGATATCGAAGGTCTCGTTTTTCCTTCGTTTTCGATTATTATAATACGCCGCAGCGAGAGAGATACATAAAATATAACGATCGACGCTGCGCCGCGCGCGGAGATCGGTACGGCGATCGGCAGCCGACCAACGCGAGAACACGCCTCCGATCGATGCTAATTTTCGCTTTTTTTTTTTTGTTCCGCGGTTATTCAGAAGCACGTGAGATACGAGACGTATATACACACTCTTGTAGCAGTAGTAGATTTTCCATTCTACGAAATGCCATATAATGAGCAATGTCGTGGATTTTTTTTGCGCTTCTCTCGCGTTCACGGTTAATAATAAAAAAAGAAGAAGAGGCCTCTCCTCCACCGAGTCATTATTACATTATTATATATCCTATACCCGAGAGGCGCGTGGGACGACGATTGGCATCTTCTTCTCGGGTGCACATGCATGCAGCTAGCTATAAGCTCAAATGTCATGATTCAGTGCGCGCTGCTATATTAGCTTTGTACGCGCTCTTTGCACGTGGATTTGCGCGCGCCTCGCTTATACACGTTTTAATTGTTACCGACTAATTCACTTTTCTCTCTTATAGCGATTTATCTCTTCTTTTTTTCGAGCTAATTAGTCATCGCGAGGCTCTCTATGATAATTATGAAAAATTCTTTGCGGCAGAAGAGCAGTAGTGCCGCGGCACGAGTATAAAGAGCATACACATAAGCATCGACAAAACCCTTTTTAGATCTTAATTACGCCATATCATCTCTCTCATTACGCGCGGCTCTCGTAAAGAGAACAACTACTACATTAACAAAAAAAGATGAATATAAGTAGAAAAGAAGCGTGGCTACGAGGATAATTTTTTTCTTCTCCTTTTTTTTTGTTCAACGTTATAAAAATATATATGAAGTTTTACTCAATTACGAGAGAGATATTACGGCTGTCATCATCGTCGTCGTGCATAGCCGGGAGTTTGTCAAAGAGTTGGCGTGCCGTGTGCCGTGTGCCGTGCGAGCGCGCGCTTAGGTGTAGTATTTTAAAACGGATGTGTCGGCGAGCGCGCAACATCTACAGAATTGACTTATCGCCTCGGATCAATTTTCTAATTATACAAATTGTCTTTTTTGTATTATAGAGCCGCGAATATAATCGCGGCGCAGAATTCGCACACACACACACACACACACACACACACGTGTTTCGATTTTTTTCTTCTTCTCGTTATATTGGATAGGGAAAAATCGCGCATATGTAACACCTATC